ATAGAAAAAAATGAAAAGATTGAAAAGGTATGGAGACAGAATACATCCCTGACGGACCCACTTCTTGATTTTGAACCATGTAGTGTCTCCTTGCTCTGTTCTGACAGCTGCCTCTTGGTCCAAGTATAGGTTTCGCATTAGCACAATCAAATGTCCTGGGATTCCCATTCTTCTTAGAGTCAGCCACAGCTTGTTGTGATCCACACAGTCAAAAGCCTTTGCATAGTCAATGAAGCAGAGATAGACATTCTCCTGGTATTCTTTGCTTTCTGCCAAGATCCATCTGACATTAGGTATAGTATCCCTAGTACCACGACTTCTTCTAAATCCATCCTGCACATCAGTCCTATTTTGCTTGTGTCCAGAATTTTTCTATGTCAGTGTATATGCACATTCATGTATCTTGGTTGGTTGGTTGGTTGATTGGTGTCTCCTGTTGAGTGTGAACTGTCCTTAGCTGACCCTCCTGTGGGTTTTCAGAGGCTGCAAATTACAAGGGAGGAGATTGTCCAACCTTCTCCCACAAAGCAGCTGGTCAATTTGAAACAAGTGCCTTTGGGATTGCTGCACAGCTTCTTACCACTAAGCCACTAGAACTCGCTACTTTAACCTACTAAATAATTTATCATAAAGATAGAACTTTCTTTAAATTCTTAGTTTATAGGTATTTTGGGATTTTTTAAAAAAATAGAAGAAAGTCTGCCATAAACATTTAAACATATAAACAAATATCTATTCATTTTCTTACAATAGAATTCTAAAAGTGAAATTTCTAGACCAGTGACTATGAAAATATTTTTTTACTTTCCTTTTAAAGAAAATAATATTTTGGGTTTGAAAAGGTTAATGAGACATCAGTAATTTATAATAGATTCTTTAAAATACATGAGTAAATCTTTGATGTCTGTATGTATATTCAGATAATCTCACAAGTGATACTAAAAGTTGAATGAAATTGGTAGTCTAGTGGGTAGAGATATTAAACTGCCCACTCAAAGACAGATGGTTCAAATCTACCAGTTTCTCCAAGGGATAAAGAAAAGCAGTCTCTTCCATATTTTTTGTTGTGTTGTTTTCTTTTTTGGGGTTTGTTTTTGTTTTTGGGTTTTTTTTACAGCCTCTGAAAACCTATAAGAGGGTCAGCTATGAGATATTGAGATGAATCATTTCTTTCAGGCACCAGGATCTCTCTCTTTCTTCTCTTTTGAGCTACTGGAAACAGAAATCAGAAGGTCTCACTGAACCCAGTTACAAGCTGACAGACAAGGGTCCCTGCCCATCTTATCTGTGGCTGCCTGCTTACCCCACTGTTCGCAATATTCACATTTGTTTCATTTCTCTTTTTTTCAGATGGAATGGGCCGAGTACTTGCTCAAGATGTATATGCAAAAGACAACCTACCCCCCTTCCCAGCATCAGTAAAAGATGGCTATGCTGTCCGAGGTAAATATTTTTGTTTTCTTGAGTATTGTCAGACTCATATGTGTTTTTTTCAGACTTTTGGCTCAGATCAGGCACCCAACAGCTGATGCATCTTCTTCCCCAACAGTTTTCAGAACAACTTCATTCCCTGGGAGCTACATTGATTTATATCTCTGTATTTTCTGACACAACTTTCATTAAAACTTTCTAATGAAAATGCCAGGTTGCATGAAAGTTCATGTTTATAAATAAGTATGTAGGAACTGAAAAAAAGCTTTTATCTAACCCCTTTGCCTCTGCTCTTATATATAGTGTCTAACCCCTCTGCCTCTATATGTGCCAGGTAGCAGACAGTCTTGGTCAAGAACATTTCCAGCTGCTTTCCAATTTATATGATAGGAGAAGATATAAGCAGATTCCCAACACACAGATCAAGTAATATTGTCCATCTAATGGCTTTAAACCAAAACATTTTTAAACAGCTTCTTAAAAAAATCATAAGGTAAACATCTAATTCCCTGGAAGACGCCATCTTTCAAATCTCTGGAGCCCAGATGGTACCTTCAGCTCAAGCCCTTAGAATTGCCTGATGTTGTATAAAGCTTAATAAAATAAATATTGAGTAACATTTACCTGACTAAAGTTCAGTGTAAGAATGCAAAATGAAAATTCAGCTGAAAAGCTTAGACACTAACATTGGTTAATTCGCATTTAATGTAGTTGAAATGTCAAAAAGAAAAATTTCCCAGTTTATCAAAGCTGTTAAGCAGGTCAATTCTTCTGTAAAGATCAGTTATGGAATCTTTTACTGTTTTGTTTGTTTGTTTGTTTTAGCTACTTGTAACTATTACAATAAGGTCTTCTGTTTTGGTAATTAAATGTATTCATTACTCCTCCATGCTTCTACACTCTTAGTATCATTTTGTGTTACAGATAGCTTATTAAGGCTAAGGACTTCAAAGAAAGTCACAGTGGTCTGGCTTCTAGTTCCAGTTTGATTTTTGTAACTTTTTTTTATTTTTTTTTTTTTTGTGTGTGTGTGTGTGTGTGTGTGTGTGTGGTCAAATCAGATCTGACCGGTACAGGAGGAGATTGTCCCTCCTTCCTCGGCAGAACATCTGGTGGATTCTAACTGTGCGCCTCTGGGATTGCAGTGCAGCTTCTTGCCACTAGGCCACCAGAGCTCCCCAATTTTTGTAACTTTAAGCTTAAAATTTATAGCCTAAATTTCCTCAACTGTAATATCATAATAATCAATAATGCTTACCTAACAGGTTATTTTAAGAATTGAGTCTCTAGAAAGCCATAGTGAAATCTAGCTATGTACATACATACATATGTAAATAAGTATAGTAGTGACCACAATAATTTTGATATGTTTAATGTTGTTGTTTACCATCGAGTCGGAACCAGTCCATACCTGACCTGACAGCACGTTTTCAGAGGCAGTTAATCACAAAGGAGAAGATTACCCATCATTCTCCCTCAGAGCAGCTGGTGGATTCGAACCACCTGCCATTAGTGACTTTTTATTTTCATTTTTATTAACAAGCTTACACAGACCATCTCTGGAAAAGAAGGCTATTTATTTGAATTATTACTCTCATCTTCTGTGTAAGCTCTGCGTAAATGAGAGAGAAAGTTACCTTGCATTTAAATTGCCACTAGTTTATTCTTCAAGATTATTTTGGAAGAACCTCATTTATCCAATAACTTGGTCTCACGAGGTTAGAGGACCTCTGAAATTGGCCGAATGACAGCATAAAGCACACATCTCTGATGTCTCTTATGTCGTGTTTTCTTCCTAAATTTATCCTTTCTGCAGCGATTAAGATTTTATTGTCCAGAAAAAAAGTTATTTTATTCTTCTCATAGCCTTATCAACTCTTATTCCTTAATTGCATTTGTTTCTTGTTACTTTTTTGCAAAAATGGAAATCCTATTTTGATTTTATGATTTGTAGTCATATAAGTTTACTATACACTGATTAAATGTTCTTACATCTAGAGTATAATAACCATAACAGATGAAACACCAAAGTTCCGAGCAAGTCTGCTTTTTTTGATCATAATAATAAGATGAGAAAATAAATTATTTAAGGTAGAATTATTATGAAAAATAATATTGTTCTGTGACTTTTTTCCTTCATGAGGTAGCAGAAGTTCAATGAGGAAAAATAATTGTTCTTGGCTTTTCTTGTAGCTAAAAAAGACATTTAGCCCATATGAACTATAAATGAACCTTTCTGGAACTGTAGAATTTATTAAGTAAATTTTTATGCAGAATTACTATTCAGTATCTTTCATTCACCTTTTTCTTTTTTGGACTGGTGGTGGTTTAGTCATTTACACATATATTAAATGCCTGGAATTACTTCTCATAGTATAAAATGTTTAAGATATTATCTGTGATGCAGTGAAGTACACAAGTAGCCATTATGTGTATACTTAGTAGAAACAGGAATGACTGGTATATCTATATATTGGCATAATCAAGGCAGTAGAGCTCATCAGTGGCCAAGAAGGCATGGGCTAAAGTAGCAGTTAGGCTGATAAATCATCCTGGAATTTTCAGCTACACCTTTCCACCCTTGTCAGTAATTCAGGAAGAGAAATTTAGGAATCCTGAAAGTCCTTTTTACCATATTCCGTAATTAAGGTGATTTTCATTTCTTTGCTAGTAAATGCATCCATGAGTGTCTTCTACATTAAATACCACTCCAAGCAGTATTTTGGTAGAGTATCCTTAAGAAAATTGTTGTGGCTCTCTACCGCTCTCTACTTCGTGTACCTCCTTCTCTCCACCCCTCTCTTCCTTGACTCCCGTTCCTTTCTCCCCATTCCCTTTATTCTCCCTTTTTTTCTTCTCCTCTGCCTTTGCCTTAGGCCTTCCAGTAATAACCAGTGGCACCTGTGACCATTGCTAACCCTCTAGGTGTAAAGAGGTTGCTAACTTGCTCTGGGTCACTAAGCATTAGCCAGTGCCCTTCAGAAACATGTGAGATATAACTCTAAACCAGTTGGAGGACCACTGCTTTCAGGTATGTGGGATAAAGTGACTGAGGAAACAAGACATACAGAAGAACTTTTTTTTTCTTCCAAAAAATAATAAGAAAGAATATTCATTTTTATGGGTGAAAAGGCAGGGATCAAGTGGAACCATTTCAGGAAGATCTGTAACCTATTAAACATAGGACTGCATTCAAGAAGGAGTGCCTTTGAAAAATAAAAGCAGAAAAAAGAAAATGAAAGTTTCATATTAACAATTAAAAATAATACTCTATTTTTCTTTTTAGGATTTTGAAAACATTTCCCTCTTCATTGGGAATAAACTTCTTTATGTCTTCATTCCCTCTTGTGGAGAGATATGAGCTTCTATTCTCTTGTCTCTACTAGTACCATTGCCATCGAGTCAGAACCATCTCATAGCTGATACGTCAATGGATTTCCAAGGTTATAGAATGCTGGAGAGGAGACTGCCCGTATTTCTCCCACAGATTCACTGGTGGATTTGAACCACCAAAGAGGCGTGACCTTTGGGTTAGCGGCGCAGCTCCCATGGACTACACCAGCAGAACTCTTCTATTGTCTCTTAGGTGTTAATAAAGGCAAAAAGGTCTCAGGATCTCTCAAGAGCAGATTTCCTACAAAGTTCAATTTGAAAGGTTTATCTCTTCAGAATTTATTTGTAATCATTTTTTTAAAAGATAATATTTTAAACAAACTAGAGCTGTGTAGAATATATAGTTGTGCAACATATATTCCAAGTTAGATTTCCTGCAAAAATTCAATTAAAAAAGATTATCCCTTCAGAATTTTTGAGAACTGTGTATACTATACAGTTATGTAAAGTATATTAATTAAGATAAATCCTTGTTGTTTATAGAAATTTAATTTCTTTTCCCCCTTTTTATATTTTGATTGACATACATTTTTCTGGGCACTGTAGAAAGTGAAAAAGAACATTTTTATGTTACCTATTATCTCAGTGTTTGGCCTCTACTAACATTTTCTTGTACTTCTACCCAAAGGGTTAAAATGAATACTCAAATACCATGTTAGGTGGTCCACACCTTATTTCATTTAAAGCCAATTCTTTTTGTTTTAGAAGAATAATGTTTCAGGATTTCCTCATCAGTCACAGCTGTTTCTCCAACACATTTGACAGGGCCTATGATGTGGGAATTTCATCATGTGAAGAGATAGGCATATTTAATTTTAATAACTTTAAAGTACTCTATTAAGAAAAAATAAACTTCCTTTTCTTTTTTAATTATTTTTACTTTTTTAAATTAATTTTAATGAAAATTTAAAGAGACTTAGGGTTTTCAGACATTCATTGTTGCACTTTTCTCCCTGCTCCCTTCCCCCAATTCACTCTTCTTGAAAAGTAAAAGAAAAATTCTTTCATTGTTAGGCAATCCCTCCCTCCGAGTCCACTCCACTGTACAGCCTTCACTCTGGACTCCTGTCATGACAGTAATACCCAATCATATATCCCTTTTAAGCAGTTCTCTCCCTCATATGTAGCAATGCAATATGCATCATTCCTCCCCTTAATTATTTTTTTTGTGTGTACTATCAAATCGGATCTGACTGACACAGGAGGAGATTGTCCCTCCTTCCCCGGCAGAGCATCTGGTGAATTCAAACCTTGTGCCTCTGGGATTGCAGTGCAGCTTCTTGCCACTAGGCTACCAGAGCTCCCTTATAATTCCTTTTCAAATACTAGAAATAATTGAGCATTTCCTCCTAGGAGATGATGGTAGAGAATATAAAATACCTTCTCACCCATCTATACTATGCCCAATTTCTTGCTTTGAAGCAATGAAAATATTTACAATCTCAAATGGCTGAACTGATTTACTTCTTCCTTGTAATTTCAGTAGATATGAATTCATATTTCAGACTTCTCTCTACTCCTTCTCCTTTTCCTATAAAACATTTGTGTGTGTGTGTGTGTGTGTGTGTGTGTGTGTGTGTGTGTCAGATATGATAGCCCCATGCCTATCATCCATGTTG